AAGAGAAACAGATGCTTAGCTTGGATTTTATAATAGTTTTGGTTGTTCAAAATTTTGATCCTTTATGGGGGAGGTAGCAGAAGAAATTGTCCGATCTCTAGCATCTTTAAAGTAGACCTCCTGGAGATGGAAATATTGAGATGCACCAAGTCTGAATGAAATCGGATGTAAATTTCGCGTTTTATGAGCTTCGTGAATATTCAAAATGTTGGATGGAGTGCGCCGAACCAGATGGAGTGCGCCGATAGATCCCATGTTCACAGCACATATTGTATTTATAGAAATAATGGCATGTGTGAAATATGAAGAGAACCAGATGCTTATTTCGGATTTTATGATCGTTTTGGTTTTTCAAAATTCTGACCCTTCGTGGGGGATCTTGTGTTGATGGAAATATTGAGATGTGCCAAGTTATCTTGCGCACCAGCACGACAGACAGACGAACGGACGGACATCGCTAGATCGACTCCAAATGTCCTGAAACGAATTTGGTCCAAAGAGACCTATGGTTTAAAACCGTTATTTCAATTAGACACGTTTTGGTCGTATCAAATGATATATACCCTCTCTAGACACATGGCTGTGGGTATAAAACAAGTGAGAAAACAGATAAGTTCGGCCAGGTCGAACTTTTAACACCCTCCACCATTTGGAAGGAAATAGACAATTTTCATAAAATCCTAAAAAATACCTGGCATCTGACATAAGTATTTCAAGAAGTTACAAACGGAATAACGAATTTATATATATACCCTCTATAGTATGGTGGAGGCTATAAAAATTGTGCATTTATTTATAGTTTTTCTCTTGTAAAAATTTTTTCTAGTTTTTTATTTATTTGTTTCATTGTTTTGTCAATATTTTTTTATTAAATTTAAATTTTTAGAAATTGTTGTTTGTTTGTTGGGGTCTCAAAGAATTTTTATTTTTCGAAGTGAATTTTTAAAAGTATTTCTTTTTGAAAAATATTTCAAGTTTTTTTTAATATTTGTAATTTTTTTAGTTAATTAAATTTAATCAATTTAATTAATTTAAATCAATATATTTTCTTAATAGTTGTGATTTTTTTTTAAATAAAATATTCGCAAGTTTAAAAACAATATTTGTGGATTTTTTGAAATATTATCGTGGATTTTTAAAGATTAAAAAAATACTTTTAACTGCATGGATGTACAAATTTGTACTACGATAACCGTTTTCCCTTTATGGTGTCGAGAAAAATTGCAAAAAATAATAATCCACCAGATGTGGATAAAAATTGTCATATCCATTATTTATACCTCAAATAAATCATCTTAAAGTAGGTAAACCCAAAGCTCTAACATAGACACGACATTTTATATCCCTTGGTTTAATACATATCAGCAGTTTTCAGAGCTACAATTTAAGAGATCTGTTGGGGGATTTCAACCAAAGGGAAGATTTTATACTCTCCCCTCTCTCTCTCTCTCTCTCTCTTATGGAAAACATTTGAAATTGAATTGCAAGAAGTTACCAATATTATAGCTTCCGACAATAGCTTTCTTTAAATGGAGGACCTACATTGGATTTTCTAATTATTACATTTTCCATCACAATTCTTTGCATACCCCATCGCCACCACTGGGTCCTCATTATCTCCGTCAATCATCTCAATTTTATTCCAGGGACATTGATGTGGACCCACACACTGATGTGACTCCTTGACCGTAGTTCTCTTCGCTATCAGGGCATTTATGCTCCGCAAATAGTTTTGTTTTCGTTCCTCGACTTGTTGTGTATCCAAAAATGACAATTCATTGATGAGGTTTTCACATCTTCTGGTCATCGTTTTGAGTCTCCAACGTCGATGCAGATAATAGGCCAACATACCTACCATAAGGCAAATCACTAGCATCGGTGTTGTAAATTCGAAACTGCCATAGCTTTGGGAAGCAGCTCCATTTGCGGTCGGAGAAAAACGCTTGAAAAACAAGGACATGGTCTTCTTATAGTCACCAAACCACAAAAATGGCAATGTCACCATCACGAGGGTGTACAAAATGTTTAAAATTGTCTCCATTTGTTGGGGATATTATTTTGATATTATTCCTGGATATTATTCCTTTTCGATTATATGTTGACGTTATATGTTGACACAGAAAAGAAAAACGAAAAAAATTATTCACAATCAAAGGCAAATTTTGTCATGTATTTGGGGACATAATGTTCCTCAACATTTATCTTAAAAATTATCGAGTATCAAAAAATAATGTTGTAAAATCCGTGAGGATACAATAAATATTTAAAAACATCTAAATAAAATATATGTAAAAAACACAAATATAAAAAATATTTTTAAAAATTTACGAAAAAAAAATATTCTTAATAAAAATTGTGAATTTTCAAGAATTTGCGATATCTCCAAGAGATTAAAAAAAAAAACAAAAAAAAAGTTCAATAAGAAATATTTAACAAATCCACGTAAATCACAATTATTTTCCAAATATTCTACAATATCAATAAAATATTTTTAAAAACTATTAAAGAAATATTCTTAAAAAATCTAAGTGAATTTATTAAAAAACGAGTATCCGAAAATTATAAAAAATACAATGTTTCGCCACACGAACTAGGACTCATTATGACCTACAAATACCAAATCCAAATCCGTAAAAAATACAATGTTTCGCCACACGAACTAGGACTCATTATGACCTACAAATACCAAATCCAAATCCGTGAAAAAATGTGACGAAGTCCATCAAAATACCGAATATCGGGATTTACCGTTATATGGGGACTATACCAAAACGTGGACCGATATATCTCATTTTCAATACCAACCATCCTAGACACAATACAAATTGTTCTGCTAAATTTTGACGTTCTACGTCAAGTAATGTGAGCTGTATCGGGATTTCAACAGACAGGCACACAGACGGACAGAAGTATAATTTTATGCTGATTATGAATATATATACTTTATGGGGTCTACGACGAATACTTAGGGATGTTTCAAACGGAACATTTTTGAATATTTGCAAAAAATCTTACAAACCACCCCCTATATTTAAAATAAATTTCTAAAAATTAAAAATATTTAAAAACACCCACAAATATTTAGAATAATGCCATGTTTACGTTAGAACTTTTTGTAGGGTTAACCTACTTTGAGAGGTTTTATTTGAAGTAAAAGAAATGGGTATGACAATTTAAATCCAAATCCAGTGGGTTAACCCTCATATATATAAACGTACTATAAGTACGAATTCCCAAAACTACCTACATTCCTTAGTCCGAGAATGCAAAACTAATTTTATTTCTCAATTTCAAAAATTTCACTTCTATCGCATCCAAATCGAAAATTTACCAAATTTAGTATCATTTGATATTTTTCGTGTACATAAGTACATATTTCGAAAACTTTCTCCATATCCCAATCCTACACTCCGCCCAAATTCAGGATTCCAGCTCCATCCGTCCCTCCAAATTTAAATTGCACTAAATTTAGTACCATTTAGTACTTTTCGTATACATAAATAAGTACACACTTCAAAAACTGCCTCCTAACATCGACTCCCAACCTTAATTCCCATTCCACACATATCTAAAAATCCAAATAAGCTTAAAAAAGAATTTTCTTAAAAAATCTATGAATATTTGTTAAGAATGTCTTAAAGATCTTTGAATGTATTTCAAAAATTTATTTTTACAAATTTTACATATATACTTTTTAAAAAATGTTCTTAAAAATTCCGAGATTTTTACTCTAAAGTTCCCATACAAAAATATTTCTAAAGGTCAACGACATTAACTTTAAAAAATCCCTAATTATAATTGTAGTCCAAAGACTTGGTCAACAGAAAATTCAAAAAAAAGAATTATATGAGTAGTATGTCCTTTATTTCTAAAAGTCCCTCCGGAGGTCTTTCATTGATAGAATGCCTCGAAAATAATAAAAAAAAACCTGGAGGTCTTCTTACCATAAAAGACGTAATAGTGTTGCCACTTCTTCACTTCACCTCTTCGGACTTATTTTTATAGACAACCCCAAGGAAGGTGTGAAACAAAAAGACACTTCAATTTGTTGTTTTTTTTTTTTTTTCTTGTGAATTTTATTTATTTTTCTTTGATTTATTCAAACTTTTTGAATAGATTTTCTTTTGTTTGTTTTCTTTTTCTTTCTTTTTGTGTTGTTTTGTTTTCTTTTTTTATATTTTGATGCTGTTTTTTTTTTTTTGTTTAAATTACATAATTTTTTCTTTCACACTATATATTTTTTTGTATTTGCTTCTTTAATAATTATTATTATTTTTATTTGTTTTGTTGGTTTTTAAATCAATTAATTATATTAAATTAATTTGTTTTTTAAGGACTCGTTTAAAAACAAGTCGTCTTTAAAAAAAACTTAAAGTTTACATCTAAACAAAAAATATATAATATAATAATAATAAGGTAAATAATAATAATAATATTTACTATACTTTAATAATAATATATGCATATACTTTTTAGTTACTTATAGGATTTTAGCATATCCTTGTTTTTTATTTTCATCCTTTTCATTCAGAATTGAGGGGAATTGTTTGATGAGTGTGGGGGCGGAGGGGAGCGGCCAGAAGGATAAGAGAGGGAGATAGATTGTGGATTAAATATATGCCGAAAATTCATCTATTGTTGAATTGTGGGTGTGGGTGTGTGTAAATGTCTGAGTGTGTGTGTTTCCGTATTTGTGTGCCATTATTGTGAATGATTTTGTTGTTAGTTTTCGTTTCGTATCGGTTGTTTTCTATAGTAAATTTACAAATTTTCTCTTAAATGCTAAATAAACGTTGTTGTTTGTTTGTCTTGTTGTTGTGTGGTATTTGTTGTTGTTGTTTTTAGAATTCCTCTGTTTCTGTTGTTGTTGTAAGTATTTGTAATTTTCTTCACTAGGTTTCCTTTGCAAAAATGTTTTTCCAAAATAAAAGAAAACGAATTTCTATTGTTTGTCGCCTTTAAATCGCGTTACGACATTTGGTTTGATTGACGTTGTTGTGTGGTTTTCATTTAACGTTTTTTTTTTTCTATTTTTCAGTTTATTTTATTTTCTCATCCTCTATTCAAATAAAACATGCATACGGTATATTTGTTATTGTATTTTTGTAGTGGTTTTGTTGTTGCTGTGGTTATTATTTGTTTTGTTGTTTTGTTTATATTTTAATTATTATTAAATTCCCAATTTTCTGTTTTTGTTGTTTTATGAAAATTATTCTCATAACTTATGATTGGATGTAAGCCACGTCAGGCCCTCGTACAGGCCATCACCGGTTGTTGCACAGGAAGGTTGCACATACCAATTGCGATCACGTATTCTAGTTAAACCTAATTTTTCTTGAATCTCATGAGGTTTCATTGCTGAAAAGAGAAAGAGAGAGAGAGAGAGAGATGATAAGAAATGTGAGATTAACTTAGTCATAAAAACAATTAAATCAATCAATCAATAATCAAATTCAATGGGTTCTCAAGTAGCTTTTTGATAAGAAACTTCGTTGTTCAGTATTGAAAATAAAAGTTGTTTATTTAACTAAAATTCATAACCTACATCAATGAAATCTCTTTTCGGTTACCAAACAAAGTCATCAAAAATTTAATGGCATTAATGATTTCAAAGGGTCAATATTTTTTTTGGCAAAATATATATTTGGAAAATTAAAGGGATTAAATTAGTGAAGACCTATAAAATAATCCCTGTAGAAGAAGTTCCGACTACAGAGGGGCTAAGGAAGGCCTTATTTCTACGAAAAACCGAAAGGACTATTATCAATAGACAAAAAATTAACAAGTAAAAAAGCTGTAAAGCTTTGAATACGCTCCACCATTTGAAACGAAGTTGGCAATTCTCAAAAACAATAAAATCCGTTAAAAAAAAAATCTGTTAAAACCTTAAAAAAAATACCGAATGTAGCCGTTATATTAGGGTCTATATGACGACATGGACCAGCATAGGTAACATTTGTCATAAGCCATAACAATATTCAAATTCGAAACTTAAAAAAATCAGTAATAATGTAGCTAAAATAAAAATACCGAATATCGGGAGGTACCGTTATATGGGAGCTATACGAAGACGTTGACCTGCACAGACAATTTTCTGTCTTAGACAGTGGTATCCATTACGAACTTCATATACAAAATTTGAAAGAATTCCGGTGAATAATGTCGCTAAAATCATCAAAAGACCGAATATCGGGAGTTACCGTTATATGGGGGCTATACGAAAACATGGACCTGCAGAGACAATCTTCTGTTATAGGCTGTAGCTTTCATTGCGAACGTCAAATACCAAATTTGAAACAATTCCGGTGAATAATGTTGCAAAAATCACCAACAAACCGAAAATCGAGATCTGTAGTGAAATGGAGGCTTTACGAAGACGTGGCCTTGCACAGACAACTTTCTGTCCTAGGCTGTAGTATCCATTACGAACTTCATATACAAAATTTGAAAAAATTCGGGTGAATAATGTCACCAAAATCATCAAAATACCGAATATCAGGAGATATCGTTATATGGGGGCTATACGAAGACGTGGACCTGCAGAGACAATCTTCTGTTATAGGCTGTAGCTCCCATTACGAACGTCAAATACCAAATTTGAAACAATTCCGGTGAATAATGTCGCTAAAATAATCAAAATACCGAATTTAGAGAGGTACCGTTATATGGGGCTATACGAAGACGTGGACCTGCACGGACTATTTTCTGTCATAGGCTGTAGTATCCGTTACGAACTTCAAATACCAAATTTAAAACAATTTCGGGGAATAATGTCGCTAAAATAGTCAAAATATCGAATATCGGAAGGTGCCGTTATGTGGAGGCTATACGAAGACGTGGACAATTTTATGTCATAGGCTGTAGTATCCATTATGAACTTCAAATACCAAATTTGAAACAATTCCGGTGAATAATATCGCTTAAATCATCAAAATACCGAATATTGGGAGGTACCGCTATATGGGGGCTATACGAAGACGTGGACCTGCACGGACTATTTTCTGTCATAGGCTGTAATATCCATTACGAACTTCAACTACCAAATTTGAAACAATTCCAGTGAATAATATCGCTTAAATCATTAAAATACCGTATATTGGGAGGTACCGTTATATGGGGGCTATACCAAAATGTGGACCTACATGGCCCATACCATTATGCAGACATAATATACATTTGAGTAAAGTTTTATCAGCCTACTTCGTTTCGTTCGGAAGCTAGAGTGATTTCTACAGACGGACAGGCGGACGGAAATTGCTTAATCCACATAGAATTTTATGCTGATCAAGAATATATATACTTTGTGGGGTCTAAAATGTATATTTGGAGGTGTTACAAACGGAATGACAAACTTAATATACCCTCCATACTATGGTGGGGGTATATAAATTATGACCCTTTTGTGGGAGAGGTACCAGAAGGGGTTCGCAGATATATATCATCTTCACAACATATCTTTCGTTTGCGAAAATGTTAGTGTGTGTGAAATTTAAAGATATGCTTATTTCGCCTCCTTTGAGCGTTTTTTTTTTTTTTTCAAAACGTTGACTCTTTGTGAAGGAGGTAACAGAAGTAATGGTATTGATGGAAATATTGAGATGTGCCAAGTCTGAATGGAATCGGATTTTAATATCGCTTTTTATGAGCTTCATGGATATTCAACATGTTGACCCTTTGTGGTGGATGTACTAGAAGGAGTGGGTCGATACATTCCATCTTCACAGCAGATCTTGTATTAGAAGATATTGGGATGTGTGAAATCTGAAGAGAATCGGATGTTTGTTTCAGGTTTTATAATCGTTTTGGCTATTCAAAACTTCGATCCTTTGTGGGGGAGCTACCAGAAGAAATGGTCCGTTATCTACTATCTCTATAACAGATTTTGTGATATTGGAAATATTGATATGTAAGAAGTCAGAAAGGAATCGGATGTTAATTTCGTGTTTTATGAGCTTCATGGATATTCAACATGTTGACCCTTTGTGGGGGAGGTACCAGAAGGAGTGATCCGATACATCACATCTTCACACCTGATCTTGGGTTAATGAAAATATTGTGATGTGTGTAATTTGAAGACAATCAGTCTCTTATATCACATTTTATAAGAGTTAAAATTATTCACAATTTTGACCCTTTGTGGGCCAAGTACTTGATGGAGTCAATTTTCACATCAGACCTAGCACTGATGCAAATATTAGGATTTGCAAAGTTGAAGCAAAACCAGATTATCCCTTCTCTTTCTGTGAAGTAAATTAATTTCATTGAAAATTTCGACCTATTGTGGGGGAGGTACCAGAAGTATCTAATTTTGATAAACATATTGGAATGTGGGAAGTTTGGATCAAATCGGTTACTCCCTTCGAGAGTTATAGTGGGCACGCACCAACCAGCCAGCCAAACAGACCGACGGACGGACGGACATCGCTAGATCGACTCCAAATGTCCCGAAACGGATTTGGTCCAAAGATATATAGGGTCTAAAAACGTTATTTCGACGAGGTATGCTTTGCCCTATCAAATGATATATACCCTCCCTCCCCAGCCATATGGCGGAGGGTATAATAAAGGGACCGTTAAATTGAGACCCCATACGAATAGATGGACATGACTAAATAGGTATCGAATTGTACTCTAATACATACATATTTTACATATTTTCTATATGCATAGCTTTTGTAGTAAAAACTGAATAGAAGATATATGCAATGATCTGAATATGATTTCATCCAAAACAAATATTTTAGACGTCTTTCATCAAAGTATTTTGTCCATGTGGGAACTTTAATCAATAAAAAACGGAGATATGGAGTAACTTTGTTAAAGTCTTGTGTTTATATATCATCTGTAAAATGCCCAGCAATCAGCAAGCGTCTGGTCAAAGATATAAACAGATGGTGGTACCCAATAGGAACTACAAATACGGATTTTGTATTAACTCCGCTGGGTACAGTCGCTACAGTCATCAAGGACTCATTACATTTAAAATGGATATTATGGAAAGTCTTTTACTGCCACAGAATAACATTTCAGGGGTTTAAGGCAGATACAAAAAAGTTCCCATTTCATGGAATGGTGGAAAATATTTTGGGGGGTTATTTCTTTATAAATCCATCTACTTGATAAAAATTCACGCTAGTCCTATAAAATTATTTCCATCTACAAAAGATTTACAGATGTCCTATAGAGATTCCTCCACTTATAATAAATCTATGCAAGACCTCAAAATCTCCGCTCATTTGGACACATACCACAAATATTCAATGTACCTACTTCTGTTATTAACTTTATCAGCATCGCATCGAGTCAATGCTTTTGATTATGTAAGAAATTAAGTTTGCAATTACTATATGCTGTTAATGTCTTTCTCCCTCCCCCCCCACTTTCTCATGGCGGGGTATAAATATTGATAACGACGTTCGCTTGTTTTTTAATTCACAAACATACTGGCTTTTTCTCATCATCAACATCACCACTAGAGCTTATCAGTAGTTTGCTGGCTGACTGGCTGTTTCCTCACATGATCCCAGCTGATATTTGAGTGTCATAATTTATTCTTTGTGTTTTTCTTTTCATTTTTTAGTTTGTTTGCAAAACTTACCATCCGCTAAATCTTGTTTATTAGCAAATATTAAAATAATGGCATCACGCATTTCCCTATCGTTTATGATTCGATGTAATTCTGTTCTCGCTTCATCGATACGATCACGATCCGCACAATCTACAACGAATATAAGACCTTGCGTACCTAGAAGAAAGAAAGAAAAACAATGATAATAATAAAGAACAATTACAAAGCAGCAGGCCAATGCAAAGCAAATAAAAAAAAAATTCTTTTTTTATTATTTTGTCATAGTTTGTTTTTAACCTTTGGCAAAGGAACGTGAGGCACAAAGGCAATTGCAAAAAGCGAACAAACTCGCATTGATCAGTTGAAAAATTAATTACAGGCCAATTAGAGTTTGATCTGCATCTTACCGGTATAATAGTGCCGCCACAGTGGCCTTATCTTATCTTGTCCACCAACATCCCAGACATTGAATTTGACATTTTTATAGGTAACTGTTTCCACATTAAAGCCAACAGTGGGTATCGTGGTCACAGATTGACCCAATTTTAATTTGTATAGAATAGCTGGGGAGAAAAAAGGAGACTTAATTAGATTTGAATCAAAATAAAGCTATAGGCTACTTACTTGTTTTGCCTGCTGCATCCAGTCCTAACATTAAAATGCGCATTTCTTTGTTACCAAAAATTTTCGAAAGTAATTTCCCCATTTCGACAGCGACAATGCATCAATGGAATTGAGCTTAATCTGCAAAGGAGAACAAGAGAGAGATTTATTATTATTATTTTTTTTTGTTTCGTTTTCTTTTCAAATAGAAACTAGATGATAAAATTAATAATTTAAAATTCGAATAAAAGGTGTTTGCAACAACAACAACAACAATAAATGATATTGAATTATTAACTGAAACCAGTTTGGTTATATGAAACTGGATGGCATTAAGCATATGTGTGCCAATATTACAGTAATGATTTATAACGACAGTATTGTATTCACTTCTCGATATCATTCTTCTCCAATGCAATGCAATGTATTTATATTCAAAATGAAATTTGAAGACTGGTGCTAGAGAAGATTGTATACCCAGAGAAGCTAAATTTATAAAAGGGAGGTGAAAAAAAAGAAAAAAAGACATAAGATCCGCCCGGTCGACCAATATTTGGAACAAATTTAACAATTTTCAAAAAAAAAGAAAATAAATAAATAAAATTCGTCAATAATGTTGCTAAAATCTTAAAAATACCTATTGTACCCGTTATATTAGGGTCTATACGACGACGTGGACCTGAATAGGCAACTTTTGTCATAAGACATTACAATATTCAAATGCGAAACTAAAAAAAATCGGTGAATAATGTCGCTAAAATCATCAAAAGACCGAATATCGGGAGTTGACGTTATATAGAGGCTATACGAAGATGTGGACCTGCAAATATAATTTTCTGTCTTAGGCAGTAGTATCCATTACGAACTTCAAATACCAAATTGAAAACAATTCCGGTGAGTAATGTCGCAAAAATCACCAGCATACCGAAAATCGCGAGCTGCCGTGATATGGAAACTATACGAAGACAATTTTCTGTCCTATACGAAGACAATTTCCTGTCCTGCACAGACAATTTTCTGTCTTAGGCTGCAGTATCCATTACGAACTTCAAATGCCAAATTTGAAACAATTCCGCTGAATAATGTCACTAAAATTATCAAAAGACCGAATATCGGGAGTTGACGTTATATGGGGGCTATGCAAAGATGTGGACCTGCACATATAATTTTCTGTCATAGACTGTAGTATCCATTACGAACTACAAATGCCAAATTTGAAACAATTCCGGTGAATAATGTCGATAAAATCATCAAAAGACCGAAAATCGACACTGCCGTGATATGGAGGCTTTACAAAGACGTGGACCTGCACAGATAATTTTCTGTTATAGGCTGTAGCATTTATTACGAACTTCAAATACCAAATTTGAAACAATTCCGGTGAATAATGACGCTAAAATCATCAAAATACCGAATATGGGGAGGTACAGTTATATGGGAGCTATACGAAGGCGTGGTCCTACATAGCCCATTTTACATACCAAATGTCCTGCAGACATAATATACATTTGAGTAAAATTTTAGCAACCTAGAAGCTAGAAGGATTTCCGCAGATAGATAGATGGAAGAACATCGCTAAGTCGACATGGAATTTTATGCTAATCAAGAATATATGTACTTTGTGGGGTCTAAAATTTATATTTCCAGGTGTTTCAAACCGAATGACAAACCATATTTTCTTGGAGACATTACATACCCTTCCAATGAACCAGTTCTGTTTAAAGCTCCAAAGGTAATGTTTGTGTTTAAAGCTCCCAAGGTGATGTTTCGAATAATTTTCCAATCAAATATTCGAAATTTGACATTTCGGGTTCTCTGTGGGTAGTTTTTGGTATAGTCACCATATGATTGTACCTCCTAATTTTTGATATGTTAAAAGTTTCTGTCCAAATTTCTAATCAAATCAGCTGTAATTTGGCATTTCGAGTTCTCTATGGGTGGTTTAACTCCCCGCAAAAAAAATCAGGGCAGGTCTACTTAACTGTTCCTCCTGATTTTCGGTATTTTGAAGGTGTCGGAGCCAATTTCGAACCAAATTAGCTGTATATTCGCATTTCAGGTTCTTAATGGAAAGTTTAACTACTCGTAAAATAATATCCAACGTAGTTCCATATTTTTGGTGTAGCCACCATATAACGTTGTCTCATGATTATCAGTAGTTCCAGATTTTCGATATTTTGAAGCATTCGACGCCAATTTCCTTCGAAACCAGCTGTCACATTTGGCTTTTTGTGCTAGACCTATTCCTCACAAAACATATGCCATACAGGTTAAGTCCGGAACTTCCGGATATACAATGTGACCATAAATGAAGTTATCACATGGCGAATGGACTTAATAAAGACTGTTTAGCTTGTTTGCATTCAAATCAGAGCAGTTTTACAAAAAAAATAAAAATAACTGATGCCAAAAGTATTTACAAATAGTTCTGGAGGCAGAGTTTGATCAAAAAGACCACATAGGGGAAAGAAGCCCTTGCTAAGTTATCACTTACAGACTCACTATTCGAAAGTATTTTGGGACACCAGCCGTGGTATTTGATCAAGTGGTAGAAACTTGGGATTCGGCCAAGACAGGAAGTCCTACCAAAGACTTAATGCTGGTATCTCAACAACCACTAAGTCTTGGGATATTCACTGGGCTTTTCGAAGTCGAAAAGTAATTATTTGTTGGATTGCATCATAATCCGGAATAGTCCCACAGAAAGCATGAGTTATTAAAAACGTGGAAATCAGAACAAAACGATGGTAATCAATTAGTGCATATCACGGAGTAGAACACTGCGCTGTTAGACTATCTGACGTTGTGCCACTTCATGAAGAGCTCAACAAGATATTCGCTGAAAAAGTCGGCCGGATCTGTTTATATAGGTCTGGTCATATCAAGACAAAAAGGAAACATAGGGAAAAGCCCCTTTTTAAGTAATCCAAATGATGGATGCTGACCAATTCCCATCCAAAAGTTATCATGCTAATACAGGCCAATGGAAATAATATGGACTATTACAGGACCTCTTATGTCCCGTCAAATGTTAGTATTAAATTAAAATTGATATTTTCCGAATCCATCAAAATAACTTATTCTGTCCCTACCGATATGCTGAATTACGTTTACGATCATGCTAAAATTGCTTACATGGACACATATATTTTCTGAAACCAAATCCCTTCTTAGCACTCAAAATAACTGTCCCTACTAACTTTAAATAAACCCCCCAAATGCAATCATGCCAAACCCGCTTACTTGGAATACCCTATTCCAAATTATTATATAATAATTTATTATAGGCGGTTTTTTGCGATTTTTTTGTATTATTACCATTTTAAAAATATTTTTTTTTTTATAGAATTTACAATAGAACGTGACATTACTTTAAACAACATTTGCTAAGAGCCACCACCGCCACATAGGCAGCCAAGTCAATGCTATTGCGGCTCGCACTTACATACGTATATGTAGAGCCGTTGACGTAATGTTTACATAGCAACTCAACATTGAACATTCTTATATGATAATAAAATTACAAAAAATAAAAAAAAAAACAAAAAACAAAAACTCAAAACTAATTCAATAAAACGGAAGTAGAATTGTATTGACCAACAAGAACAAGAGTGATTGATGAAATGTCACCGAAATAAAACAAATTTATGGCCAATCACAATGTCAATTTCATAATGAGAAAAATTATTGCATTTTTATGGGAGGAATGGAATATTCACTATAGATGTGGGTGCAGTAAACTAGCGGGCTAATATGGAATATATGTGGTTAACAACATAGATAAACAAGGCTTGCCTGGAATTTATGGTTAAGTTAATAATAAGTTAATAACAAGACGTTTAGCTCATTACATTATCTGGGCTGTAGAATATGACAAATTTGTATAGTTTATTGTATTCGCCACAGGTGGGTCGTTATGTGATGTTCCCAAAACTAACATTGCTAACAAAGTTCTCTTCCGAATATAAACATTTAATGACTGAAAGTTACTTAGAAGTTTTGTCTTAGGTCAGACCGAAAAACCGGAGAAGAGTATATAATCCTCTTCTGACTTCTGAAATCTCCGATAGGGTATTTGAACTTCCAGCAAAACTCTATCCTATAGACAAGTCCAAAACCGGTTCGGGGATAAAAGGTTATTTTAAATAAATATTTCAAAGTCTGTCGATTTTCCTTTGCAAAAGACTTTCTCCCAGATGCCCAGATTAAAAATATGGCCACTCAAAATCCCAAACATTTGAAAATTCCGTTATATGGGAATAGTTTTTCTAACCACAAAGAACACCAAATATAATATTGCTGCGGATTTGGCTGGAAATTAGTATCAAAACTATCAAAATACCAAATATGAGGATGCACCGTCATCCAAAAGTGGATCTTCATTAAATTTTCTTGGCAACTTCCCGCAGAGCAGCCAAAATATTAAATTTCGGCTGACTTGGTTATAAATTGGAATCGAACCCTTCAAAATATCGAATATACAGAGGCACAAATATAGGGTCTGAAAAGTGGGCCTACTTGGGAGTAAATCTACTTATTGAAAACACAAAATATCAAATTACAGCTGAGTTGGAGGAGTCCAACTTCCGCAGAGAAGCCAAGATATTAAATATCGGCTGACTTGCTTATAAATTAGAACCCAGCCATTCAAAATACCACATATCTGGAGACACTGAAATAACGTCCGAAAATTGGACCTACTTGGTCTATTTTTTTCGGGAAGTAAATTTTCTCATTGAGAACACAAAATATCAAATTGCAGCTCAGTTGGTAGAAATTGGGAGAAAGACATTAAAAATACCGAATATCAGGAGGATCCGTTGTATGGGGGTTACTACAAAGTAGTAGACCTACATTGAAAGTTCTTTGCCAGTAGTAAATCTATTCAATGAAAACCCAAGATGTCAAATAACAAACAATTTGAATGAAAATAAGGGGACGGAAACCTACGAAATACCAAAAAGTGAAGGACGGTACCTATTCAATTTTCTATACCAAACATCCTGGTAATAGTATCAATGTCTGTGCTCTATTTTTAATAGTGCGAGTCAATCATGATTTCAACAGACGGACAGGCAGAGAAAAAGAACAAGGCTAAATCGATATAGATTTTTTCCCTGATCTTGATGGTAGCTCCGAAGAATATTTCAGTTTTATTAAGGAGGTTAAAAACATATATCTGAGCAAGTCAGTGTATTCTGCCAATTTACACTTGCTTTAAATTTGTGCTTATTTTTGCAAAATATTTCAAGTGAGAATATATAAAAAGCTAGCTTAAGTCATCTGCTATCTTCTTCGGAAAAGAACAAAGGAGCAGAGCCCCATAATCGAACTTCGTTAACCTAAACCTCCTTTGTTCCTCTGCGAAGAAACCAGTCAAAAAAAGCTTCTATCCATTCTCACCTTTAGGGAATGAGAATTTTCAACATTACAACCTATATTGCAAAATTTCTTTGATAATTCAGAGTTTTCAAAGGGATGGCTTCTTATATGGACATTTACTCAGACAGCACTTCTGACCTTTTGATCGTATATGTATTAGTTGCTCCTACGAAAAAGAAGTTATTCCATAGATGAAACTGAAAAGGTCATCTGAGACGATTCTTCCCAAACACTTAGACCTTGATATTTTATAGTCTTTTTAAAGGCGGTTAGCAATTTTTAATCATTTTACATTTTCCCCAAATGGAAATTTATAGATAGATGGTATATAGATTTGCCGTCTTAATATACTCTAGATTCTTTCACCATCTAGGCCTACTTGCAATCTATCTATAATTTATGGAAATTAAAAAAAATGCAATTTAAATTGAATTATAGTTACCAATCTTAGTTACTACCCAGTCCTTTCTTGTTAACTGACCCATCCAAGCTGGAGTTCCTGGCTATTTTGATCTCAATTTTTTACGATGCAATATTTAAATGCTAGGTTTCATAAATCGTCCAATATACTAAAAGTACCAGCAGTTTTTTTCTAGCACAATGAAATTTAAATAAAACAAATGTTGCAGACACAAGAAAAAAAGTAGTAAATCAAAGAATTTTCACTGTTAACTCCTCTATTCTTGAATGTTCACAGCTGTTGTTTACATTTACAGACTCGCATAGACCGAACACATCTTTGACATTTGGTGCCAAAAACAAGAGAGAACAGAACTCATATGGGTGCATGCAAAAGGGGAGAAAGTAATAGAACATTAGAGTAAATAACACGCAAAGTGATATATGAGAAGAAAGTCAATAAAGAGATCTAATGAAAATTACTATTAAGCAATAGATATCAATTGTTTACACAATGAAATGAAGAAGAAATTCCAAACTATGACAGTTCGTGTAGAGTTATTTTGGGAGAAGGGGAAAGAACCGGAGAGAGAGAAATCGAGGCTGAGTTAATCCACACAATAAGAGTTATACAATTTCTCCCCCATTATCAAGATTTGTTTTTTCTATGAAACGATGCGTAACATAAAATAAACACGAAAATCAACGTTAATTGGTTTTTTGTTTCTTTGTGATTAACGTTTTTAGCGCAATACTGAAGCATAAACAGCATAAATGTATGGAAGAGAGAGAGAGCATCAATGAAAACAGAGAAAATTAAAATAACACAAGTTGGGCGTGATCATCATCACTTCATACACCGCCAACGTCAACGTCATTAGCCACCTTCAATTTCTGACTCTGCTGCTCTGCTGCTCATTTTCATTAGTTTCATTTTTAAAGTAGCAAAATACTACATCGCTTTTGCTTCGGCAACAACAAAAATGAAGCCATTTGCAGTTCAATGACAACTTTAATGGATCTTTGAACGAATGAAGCAAAAAAAACACACAGCCAAACCAAAAACAAATTAAGTGATTGTCGCAATCATTTCTCATTTCTTGCTATCAGAAGAAACCTTCTTTTTCCGGCATGCAGCAGTCAACACCGAGTTGGATATCGTTCGAGTTTTGCTACTTTATCAGCCTTCAGAGAAACGAAAAAAACAATTTATACATTTTTTCATTGCATTTCGATGAGATGAATGACAAGCACATTATAAGCTTCCGAGAAATACGATAACCAAACATTTCTTTTCCACCAATTGCAGTAGGACAGCAAACATTTAATTATATATTTATTTCGTTAATCACTAGAATTTGTGGATATTTTTTCTTTCTTCTTTTATATATTTATCATTGCACACTAAAATACCTTTTGGCAAAACACTATTATTTCGGATTTACACGTCACGTCACACACACTCAACCGCCAGCCAGCCAGCCAACAAAATTGCTGAGACTTCTTCTCTACGTTTCCTCACACACCGTCGTCTTCTTCTTCTTCGCGCTACTCTTTTATCTTTTTATTATGCATAAGTTTCTTTCTTGGCTTTTCGTGTTTCAATAACGTTCGTTATTCCATAGATAACTGATGCTGCGATCTCTCTTCAGTACGATTTCAAACAAATTCACAGCTTTATGCTATACTTCATTGTTAATAATAAAAAAACTAATCGAAATTATGTTATAAAACATAAAACACAATGTTAACAATATTACTCATTTCAATCAGAACGCAGCAGAGAACGGAGCTGTACTAAAATTATCAACAACGCCGCAGCAACACTATGAAAGTTATATGGCGCCGATGGCGATGGTTTACGGTGACACTGTAGTTCGTAGAGTAATAAGGTAACTCTATAAGCTGTGCTATCAAAAGCATTGCCACCGAATTCAGCAAATTTAAAGGGGGGGGGGGACATTTTTCAAGACAATTGAAAAAAGAACGTAGCTGTGCTCATATTGCAAAAAAAAATTTTACCCCAAATTATATAATGTAGACATATTTTTATGTGTTCTAAAATTGCAAAATGTTGTATACATATTTTGATTACAACTGAAAAGTATTTTGCTTTCTAGCTATTCTTGAAGTGCTACAGGATTTGTACCTGCACTTTCCAATTATAAATTTAGAGAAATGATCTAAAATATTTTGAGAAATTTCATTCTGAAGTTTCAATTTTGAAACCTGTATTGCGATTCTCTAAGGGTGTTAGTACATAAGAAGCTAACTTACCGAAAAATTTCGCTAATTACCGAAATTATAAGCATTTTAATTTTAGCGACTTTGTCGCTAACTCAATACATGAGTTAGATAATTCCACTACCGATCTACAAAAATGTTCATTTTTTTTAAAAATTAAAAAGAAATATGGATTTTTTTTGAAACTTTGACGCTACCATTACTCACATTAACAAACTTCTTTGTTATTGTTGTAATTTTTCTTCTACCTTCTAATAATTTTTGCTGTAGAAGAAAGTCTTAAAATGTGCTAAAATTGTTTATTATATAGCTATAGCCATGGTACAATGAAGAGAAGGTAGGTCAACTTTGAAAAAATTGCAAGTATAGAGGTCTACCTGTTTGGCTTGTAATGTCAGAATTGCTATCAAAACAATAAAAAAGCAAACAACTTGTTGCATTGATTTTGAATAAATAATTTAAAACCGCGAAAACTGAATAAAAGGTCAACATTTCTTTTCAAAATCATGTTCTATATATCTCTTATGGTTTATTTCGCGACAAAAACTGTAGACTTTGTCGATGCATACGTTGCAATAAGCATTTTAAAAACACCCGAATTTGAATATTTTGTGAACAATTTTTTATTATTGAAAAGAAGACACACACATAAGCAAATGAAGTTGACATATTAAGCCAGAAAAATAAAAAAATTGAAATCATATGGTAGTTCTGCCCTACCTTGAATTCATTGTACCATGGCTATAGTTCCCATGTATCTTTCATCCGATTTAATATTTAAGTCCACAAAAGCCGCAATATGCATTCCATAACAATTTTATCCTATCCAAGACATCAGATAAGGTGTTTCAATACATTTTTTGTCAAAATTTGTCCAAATCTTTTTAGATTTAGATATAATTGACAAATATATTTTCCTCAGATTGGACCAATAATCCTACGTTTGTACCATGGTACAATAAGGAGGTAGAACAGCTTCGTAAAACTACATAAATACAGCCCTGAAACTATGCCCGCTTCCTGTCAGAATAATTCAAAATTATATCCAACAAGTTGTTTTCATTTATTTGATATTTTTTGTTCATTTTAAAAATGAGTCAAATAAATCGAAAGATGAATGAAATGCCTGGATATTCTCTCAAAAATATGATCCTAAGTTTTCAATCTTTTAATTCCGTGGCAAATCTGGTTAATATCAATAGTGAGCGCCCCGCAATTTAAGCTTCTTCAATTCATTGATTTTGAAAATATTTTGTTTTTATTTTTCAAAACAATAAATACATACACAAAATTGGCATAAGTCGGGCACACTTAGAAAAAATTTGTAATCAGCTGGTAGCTCTACCATACCTTTTTATTGTACCATGGTTTGTACAATTTGTTCGAATTTCGAATCATATTTAAGTTCAGAATATAACAACGTCTGCTTAGTTTGGATCAAATCCAACACCAAAATACCTCCGTCAAACTTTTTAGAAATCGATTAACATTAAGATATGGCTCCCATATATTAGATTCACCTCAAATCTAATCCGCTCTAAAGCCATAAGTCGCATTTAATAATAATCACAAAAAGTATTATTTACTTCTCTTTTCCCCAATATAGACATATATTTGTTACGGGAGAAATTTAGTGGATTCAAATGGTTAATTTCATTGCGTATACGTCAAATTTCAAGGAATTTTGTGTAGAGCGTTAAAGGAAAACAACTTTGTGTATATGTTGCAGCAAAAGACAACTCTGATGTATAAAAGTTGGCTTTTGCAAACTTCAAGTTGTACAATTGTTTCGTAGACCTGTGACAAAAACGTTTCTACGAAAGATAAAGAGTCTACGTCATCGAAAGGCTGAGCATTTAGTGTCTAAATGCAAACGAATTTTGACAAACGAACAAACTTACCCAACAAAGACACGGAGCAAAATACGGCAATAAGACAAATGTGCATGGGAACCCCGCTTGCATCATATTTAATCGAAAAAGCATGCAACACTGAAAATCATATGTTTTTAGGCGGGCTTTGTGCACATTTCGAACGTTGTGGCAACTCCATTTTGCGATATATTTAGTAAATTGGCGCGCTGAAGTAGTTGTAACAGGAGAAAAAAACGAGAAGAAAAGAAGAACGCTACAAAGAAAATAGGAATTTTACAACTTTAATTTTAACTTAAAAACACACCAAAAGTACAAAATTTTACAAAAAAGACAGAGGAAAACAAAATGGAATCAGAATTAAGCCAGGCATACTATGGAGTCTATTGTTCTTCGAAAGAAATTCTCAAGAATAACCAGCGCCATTTGTACTGTAGCGTACGTAGACAAGTTTTTTTCTTGAGGCATTTGTTCTACTTTCGTTTCGGAGACTTGTGACTCTTGTTGCTGAACGAGCTAGCTGTAAAATTGTGATGGTCACTCATTGATTTCAATTTTTCTTTTTTGCATTTTTATTTTGAATTACAGATGTTGGATTTATTGACGAGCACCTGCAAGACAACGGGTTTGGTAGGTAGTAAAATAGTAAGCGATGAAATGATACAGTTTTGGTTATCGGATATCTTGGCATTGATGTTCGACACGGATCGTGCCATACAGACAAAGGCGGTGGAAGCCTTCGAACAGGGCCTTACATCGATGGATGTACAGACTATACACAACAGCAAGGAATGGCCAGCCTTGAAAGCCGCCTTGGCTAGTGTACAGGCACCGAAAATCCACAAATTAAGGGAGGATCGAAATCCGCACTGGCATCGAGTGTGGGGTTACATGATACGTATACTTGATAAAGAGCTGTTGAAAGGAGCCAGTACCATTAATGCATTTCTAGCCATTGTGGAGTTGGGTTTTCGCAGTACAGACAACACCATACGAGCAGAATCGTTTTTGTGTTGGCGTTTATTAATAGAAATATTTGCCAAATATGATGAATTATCTTCACCGAAACGTTTGAAACTGATTTGTATTCCATTGAAGAGTTCACAGTCCAAATCCGCCCAGGCTGCCGAAGTCAAGTTGAGAGTTTGGTGGTATTTGTTGACACGTTTTGGTAATAAGTTGGGAAATAATTTTGAAACAGTTGTGGAACCCTTTTTGCATTTCTGTTTTGGTGGCTCCTCATCCGGTAAACAGGTGGTTAGTGCTGCCCAGCAATACGAAGTGGTGAGAGAATTGGCTGTGCCCTGTATGGCCAAATTGTTGGCAAGCGAGCGCAATGAATTTTTGGATCGTTGTTTAAGAGATCACAAATTAGAGCCTATGGATTCACCGTCAGCTCTACTCGAATTGGAAGTACTGGAAAAACATTGGTTATCAGTGGTGAATGCAGCCTTGGATGCCATACGATTAATGGTGAGTAGAATAGACATGTGCGTTTTGAAAAGCACAAATGACCCCCAACTGTGAGTGTGTAATTTCACAACGTTTAGACAATTTTGTAGGTATATTATTGTTTTATTTATTGGGATTAAAAATAAACTAAATTAATTTCTTTTCTTAATTTCAGGGCAACGAAAATTCGGAAAAAGATGTCAGTGAGCAGCACCTTTTTCAACAGTTATTGCGCCACCTACTGCAAATGACATTGCGCAAGGATATAGCGCCCCTAACAATCCACGTTTGCTCAGCAATACAAAAAATGCAAGCAAATCATCCACGCGTTGTTATAATTGCCATCAACACCCTGGCATCTGAGGGTATTGTTTTGAAGAAATCATCAGAAAATACAGAGGAGTATCCCAAATTATTGGATACATTTGCTAAGCTCTTTATGTCGGCACGTTCAATAGTGCCACCGGCCATTTTAAATCGTTGTGTCGATAAAGTATTCTCATTGGATGCCCAGGATACAGGACGCAACAAATGGCGCTCGTTAACGGTCATGATGTCGACAATATTCCTTATCAAAGATGATGAGGATTTTGAGGCATTCGAAACAAAGCTAATTATTTGGCGTAATGTCTCACAGGGAATTGTAAAACATTTAAAGGAGAATGCATTGGATGTACGTGTCAAAGAAAATGCCTTGCTATTGGAACGATGGATATTATGGCCAGTTCAAGTTTGTGTGGGATTTGCTGGCTCCAAATCTACCAATGGTTTCGATACGGCATTTTGTTCGTTGTGGAGACAACTTATTAATGCAGGACAGAATGCTCCCGACAGACGTTCGTTTGTAACAAAAGTACATGATGTTCTCAAAGAACTGCTAAAATTGCGTCACGAGGAAAATGCATTTGGGGAACTTTTTGATGCCTACACCACAGCGGTGATCAAACTTGAATGCGCAAAAGACAGTGCACAACATCAGGAATTTTTCGCATTAATGCAGGACATATTAAAGCAACAATTACCCAAGAAACCATTGGAAGCCTGCATGAATACTCTACGCAACACCTTGACGGGATTCAAAACAAATGAGGCCAATACTTATTTTGAGCACATTAAAGCCACACTTTCAGCTGTGGTCAATTTAAATGCCAAGGGCACAGTTTGTGTTTTGGAAAATAAATTTCTCGACGAATGGAAAAGAGCTGTCATGGACAAGTTGCGCACGGCCCTGAGCAAAGAGTTATTCCAACAAATGAAGGAAATCGTAAAAGGTAACAATGATGTATTCATTGTTGTGCCTTCCGTGTGGAGCTATAACCCTGACAAATTAACGGAAAGGCAGAAAGAAAAACTAGCCGAGAAATCCGATATCCCAGCACTTTACAATGATATGAGTCAATCGCAGGAGACCTCCTTGAAACCATGGACCCCCAAGAAGATTGTCATTGCTCAAAAAGATAAATCGGAAATTGTCCTGGAAGGCCAGCTCTCAGATGAGGTTGTTGAAGAATCAGCCGAGCCCTTGGAGAAAACAGATGCCGAAAAAGCCGTGCTGAGCACGCCAGTTAGCAAGAAATCGTCGCTAAGAAATCAAAGTAAAGTCCAGGGTACACCCAAAGATGCGGGCGAAGAGGATAAAAAATCGAATGCTGATCATGAGGTAACACGGGCCACACGCAACTCCAAGAGATCGATTTTGGCCCCAACAGAAGAGGAACCCAAGGAAAAGGTTGCCACCACCGAGGACAGCATAATAAAAAGAGTATGTATACACACATATGCCTATACATATCTTTACTGTAATATTAATTATTTTGTTTTTCTTCAAATTATCAGCAAACCCGACGTTCTGGTCTGCGCACGAAAAACGATAACAAAAAAGCCGACGAAACACCAAGCGACAAATCCAAATCATCAAATGCTGTTGAAAAACCCCAACAGCAGCAAACAACAGAAAACATATCAAGTACGTGTGGTTGATTTAATGTTCGTTACACACAAACATTAGATAAGATATGTGTGCATACAAGCACATACTTCGATTTTACACTTAGAGAAACGCATTGGTCGCGGTCATCTAATGGTGTATTTTGTTTTCAACTCTTTTATAGGTCCCAACAAAAATGTTGCAAACAAACCAACGGCCACCATTATCGTACCCACGATTACAGAGGATCTTACCGATGATCATGAAACTGCAGCCACTGAAAAAGATAAGGAGAATATTATTGTTGTTGAGCCACAGCAACAAGAAACTCATTTACCAACAATGACAGAATCTTTGCCACCAACTGTAATTGCTACCGCAACACCATTAACAGCTTGCACTGCCACCAGCACACAAATGTCTCAAGAAACTGACAAATCAACCCAAGATAAGCACCAGCCAGCCTCAAGTGATGCCAACCAGAAAAAGGATGAAGGACCCAACAAGAAGGCTACTGGTCCACACACAATTGAAATATTATCAAATGAATTGATTGATCTCAACAAAACAAATACAAATGCCATAAATGAAATTTTACAAACTAAAGAAGTTTCCCCCAAAAAGACTAACCCAGCAAGATTTACGCCCCTGGTAATTTCAAACGAAAAATTGTGAAAATATTTTTGAAATTCCTTTTTTTAAATATAATTTATATTTCTTTTTTAGTCATCACCTCCAGATCGCAAATTGACCAACAATAGCAGTAGTCCAACCTTAAGACCCAAACCTTCATCCCATCTAACAGGTCGTGGCGCCCAGCTTATCAATATGATACGTAATAAAAAGGTCGATATATCAGCTAGTGCTGCCACATCAACCGCAAGCAGTTTTCCAACATCTTCGGTGTCCACACCGTCGCAGCAACGTAATCCCGCTGCTGAACTAATGGAATTAACGGGCACGGATCAGACCTCAACACCAGTACAACATAAAGATTTTCTGGTATTCTCTAAACGTTTGCCATCTCCCACGGCCAGTCCATCGGCGAGTATTTTAAAACGCAAGCTGCGTAATGACAGCATTGAAGATTTATCCTTTGATTCGCCGGCATTTAAGCGCAAGCGAGTTAGTTTCCATGATCCACCGGTATCGGTTACCAAAGAATATCTACGAGATGCTGAGGAGACAAAAACCAAACCTAAGAGGTAGGTGTTATTATGTTTAATGATTGAAAATCACAATAATTTGGAAGCATACTTCCATACTTCCTGTTAATTTCCAACAAAATAATTTCGTTCGGTTATGGGTTGAGGCCTTATTATTTTAAGGAGGCTATACCAAAACGTGAGTTAATACAAGCAATCTTAGGACTTGTATCAAATAAGAACCAGGCGAAAAATAAAGGAATAAGAATACGGGTTTATAAATGCTTTATAGATTAAAAGTAAAGAAGTAAAAAAAGTAACAGTCTGTTTTGCCGACAGATGTATACTCTCAGCAAACCCCAATGGGGTTCGCAAATATATGTCATCTTCACAACAGATCGTGTGTTAGAAAAAATGCTTGGATGTGTGAAATTTGAAGCGCGTTGGATGCTTATTTCGCATTCTTTGAGCGTTTTGTTTTAAAAAATTGTGACCCATATGCGGGGGAGGTACTATAAGGAGTGCGCCGATATATCCCATACATACACAGCGGATCTTGTGTTAGTAGAAATAATGGGATGTGCGAAATTTGAAATGAACCGAATGCTTATTTCGGGTTTTATGATCGTTTTGGTTATTTAAAACTTTGATTCTTTGTGTGGGAGGTACCAGAAGGAATGGTCCGGTCTCTACCATCTTTATAACAGATCTTGTGTTGATGATAATATTAAGATTTGTCATGTCTAAGTGTAGTCGGATGTTATTTTCGCGTTTAATGAGCTTCATGGATATTCAAAATTTTGACCCTTTGTGAGGGAGGTACCAAAGTAGACCGATATATCCCATCTTCACACTAGAACGTGGGTTAATAAAAATATTGTGATGTATATAATTTTAATAGAGCCGGATGCTTATTTCGGATTTTATGATCGTTTTAGTTATTCAAAACTTTGACCCTTTGTGTGGGAGGTACCAGAAGGAATGGTTCGAACTCTGCTATCTTTATAACAAATCTTGTATTGATTGAAATATCGAGATGTACCAAGTCTGAATGGAATCGGATGTTAACTTCGCGTTTTATGAGATCTTGAATATTCAAAAATTTGACCCTTTGTAGGGGAGGTACCAGAAGGAGTAGACCGATGTATTTCATCTTAACTCCAAACCTTGGGTAAATAAAAATATTGTGATGTGTGAAATTTGAAGAGAACCGGACGCTTATTTCGGATTTTATGATCGTTTTTGATATTCAAAACGTTGACCTTTTGTGGGGGAGGTACCAGAAGGGATGTTCCGATCTCTACCTTCTTTATAACAGATCTTGTGTTTATAGAAAAATATAGAGATGTACCAAGTTTGAAAGAATTCGGATGTTAATTGTGCGTTTTATGAACTCCATGGATATTTAAAATTTTGACCCTTTGTGGGGGATGTATCAGGAGGAGTCGACCGATATATTCCATCTTCACACCAGAACTTGGGTTAATAAAAATATTGTGGTGTGTGTGTTTTGAAGACAATCGGACAAATTTCATCACATTTTATAAGAGTTATAATTATTCAACATTTTGACCTTTTGAGGGGGATGTACTTGATATGGAGTTGACCAAAATTGTCCATTTTCGAACCTGACCTAGAACTGACGCAAATATTAGGATTTGCTTAGTTGGAGCAACATCGGATTATCGTTTCTCTTTCTGTGCAGAAAATTTATTTTTTGAAAATTTTGATCTTTTGTTGGGGAGCCAACAGAAGGAGTGGACCGATATTGCCCATATTGACAAAAATATTACGATGTACCAAGTTTGGACCAAATCGGATACTCCCTTCAAGAGTTATCGTACGTACCAGCCAGACAGACGGACGCACGGACATCCCTAGATAAACTCCAAATGTCCTGAAACGGACCAACCAAAGGGACCTAGGGTCTAAAATCGTTAAAATCTTCGCCGAGGAACGTTTTGACTATCAAATGATGTATACCCTCTCCAGCAATATGGTTGAGGGTATAACTAGCCATATGACTGAGGGTATAAAAAATAAATACCTAAATTCCAGCATGATTCACAAGGCCACACTCCCATATAAACAAAATTTTCCACTTTCATTGTTTTTGCAAAACAATTATTTTTGATGTATTATTCACATAATTAATAAATATTTCCTTGCAGATGTTTAATAATGGACAAGGTTTCAGAGGCCAAACATGTTTTGCGTAGACGCAGTAAATTGGACAGCCTAATTGAAATCGAGAAATTCAATAGTAATACCTCCGATCCGAATGCTGCTGCTGCGGCTGAGAAGAACTCAACAACTGGCTCTGCAACCCCTCAACATACTACCACTACCACCACAACAACCAGTGCACCATCTTGTTCCACAAATACAGGTGCTAACAAATCCGCGGACCAAACAACGACAGATGAAAGTATAACATCTTTAAAATGGAATGATAGTCGTAACACAACAGCTGATGACAATCTTGTGTATGCAGAACATAATACTAACACTTCCACAACTGAGGCTATTCATCATAACACATCAACTACTACTACCCAGGCCGCACACATTTGTAACCATCCCGAGCCACAAGAATTAAGTTTGGACAGTGCCATTAACATGGTATTGGAACAGTGTCCCTTGGAAACAATTCTGGAGAAATATTTTACAAATGAAAATTCACCACAACTCAAATCGTCCCATATTGTTGCGAAATTTCTTTCCAATGCCATGGAAACTCATTCAAAAATCAAAACCAATGTCTTGGAGACATTGTCGGAGAACCATTCAAAAGATTTCTTAGATCATGCTGTGCAGGAGAATCTGTCTTCTGTTGTATGCGATCGTTTAAATTTGAATTCGGTTATAGATTATATTTGTGCCAAGTCGAAAATTAATTCTGGTTGTCGCAACAATTTGCTACAGCAATTGCCCGACATATTGAAGCATAGCAAAAATGATGTTGAACGTTTTGAGTTGGTTAAGAATCTGTTGCAACAGTGTCAATTTACCGATGAACATATATTGGATTTAATCAATGTTCTGATGCAGGTTCGTTCCGGTCGAACGATGGGCGATCATGCAACAATGGTCTCGGAATCGGCCGTCGATTCATCTTCAAATCTATAAATACAAAAACAAAAACAAATTAGTTAACGCACGCAAATAAACAAATCAAATATGGAAGAATTGCAACCATCGAAATTTGTAATGTACAACAACAACAAAAATCATTTTTTTTTATTATCTATTATTAATTTTATTTACATATATATACACCCCCATGCCCACATTATTATTCACTTTATATGTTATACACAAACGCGCCCCCCCTAAAAAACAAACACATCGTTTAATAATTTATTTAAAATTTTATTATATTTGTTAAATAATATATGTATACAGGCATACATATATAAAAAAACAACAACCACAATTGAAAATAAACAAAAAATACATTTGTATAATAAAAAAAAAATATATTGGTTATGTTATGTTTACAACAAAAAAACACACACGCAGTATGTTTAGCTTACAATATATCCACACAACAACAAATTCTTATTACTATTATTATTATTATTGATCAAGTTTAAAGAGGGTTTTATTTTCGAATAAATTTTTAAATAGTTTAGTACTTAAAAAAAAGAGGTGATTGTTTTTATTTTCTACTAAAAATGGTCCTTCCCGAACGGAAGGAATTGTCATATGCCTTCGAAACAGTTCGTGTTTGGTAGTCATCCAAACCATCATATGGCTATGAATGTCGTCCTTAAAGTCCTTCAACCATTCCATTCCAGCTGAAGAATGTCGACTGTCTAAACAAATCGGGGTAGTTTAGGCGCAACTACGTTTAGGATGGTGCGGACGTCTAAATTCGCACTGGGCATGAACAGGCGAAGGATGTGCGAAAAGTCGACAAGGATTGCGATACAGGCCCGAAAAATAGAGGGTGAGATGAAGAAACTGCAACCAACTTGAAACTGCTGTCATTTCTAAGCCACTCGTCCGGCAGCTGTTAAAATTATTCCAGTGACAGCTCATTATATTGTTTACAAGCGTTCAAAAGCATTTTGCTGAGAATTTTCCAGACAAAAAAGTTATTCGTGATGGAATTCCAACGTGATAGTGTGATTTCTTTATATTTGGCTGGAAAACCACAAGTGGCTATCGTTAGAGCACTCCAACATGTTCATGCAGATTATGAAAATTTTCGGCATATCTAAAACTAATGTAATTTTTATATCCTCAGTCATATGGCTAGTTATACCCTCAGCGATATGACTAGAGAGGGTATATATAATTTGATACGACCAAAACGTGCCTCATCGAAATAACGATTTTGGACCCTAGGTCTCTTTGGACCAAATCCGTTTCTGGACATTTGGAGTCGATCTCGCGTTGTCATACGCTGGTGCGTACGATAACTGTGCAAGTATCCGATTTGATACAAATTTGGTACATCGTAATATTATTGTCAAACTTAGATCGGGTTGGGAGTTGATTGGGAATATCGGTGGTCCATTCCTTCTGCTACCTCCACCACAAAATGTCAACATTTTCAAAGAAAATAATTTACTGCATAGAAAGGATAATACGATTTTGCTCCAAATTTGCATCAGTGCTAGGTTAGGCGCGAAAATGGACAATATTGGTCCACTCCATCAAGTACCTCCCCCACAAGGGGTCAACATTTTGAGTAATCATAACTTTTATAAAATATGATGCTACCTCCCCCCCAAAAAGGGTCAAATTTTTGAATATTCATGAAGCTCACTAAAACACTAAATTAACATCCGATTCTATTTATACTTGGCACATCTCAATATTTCTATCAACACAAGATCTATTATAAAAATGGTAGAGAGAAATACCTCCCCCACAATGGGTCAACGTTTTAAATAGCCAAAACGATCACAAAATCCAAAGTAAGCATCCGGTCCTCTACAAATTACACGCATCGAAATATTTTCATTAACCCAAGGTCTGGTGTGAAGATGGGATATATCGGTCCACTTCTTCTGGTACCTCCCTCGCAAAGGGTCAAAATTTTGAGTGTCCATAAAAAACCAGAAATTAACATTTGATTCTCATTCAGACTTGGTACATCTTAACATTTCCATGAAAATAAGATCTGTTATAAATATGATAGAGATCGTACCATTTCTTCTGGTACTTCCCTCAAATAGGGATCAAGATTTTGAAAAACAGAATATCAAATAAGCATTCAACTCTCTTCAAATTTCTCACATCCAAATATATTTGATAACGCAGGATCTGTTGTGAAGATGATATACATCTGCCACCCCTTTCTGGTAACTCACCCACAAAAGGTCACAATTTTCAATACGTTTTTCCCACAAAACTTGCGAAACAAGTCAGCGATTCTTAAAAATTTGCTATATCTAAATATTTCTCTTAACCAGAAAACTGATATGAATTTGGTATTTATCGAAATTTATAATTTCGCATAATATTGGTAAAAATGGATAAAAATGTTCGATTTTCTTCAAAGTTTATACATAGCAATATTTTTATCTGTATTGGATGAAGTATGAAAATTGAATAATTCGGTCCGGTATATCTGTTGCCTCACGCTTTTTTCCACATTTTCCAAAAATTGGCACATATCTGATATAAAGTGTAGGAAGTAGTTGATATAGAGCCAATCTGGCACGTGGTAATATTTATATCAGTCTTAGGTCAGATACGAATGGGCAATATTGGCCGACTGTTTCGGAACCTCCCACATAAAGGGTCAAAAGTTTAAATAATTATATAAATAATTACATCTGTCGGAAAAACCGACGGATTCTTTTTTACTTGTTACCTTTTGTTCGTATATTTTAATCCCCTTTTACAAAAAAAAAGTATTAAACAGAGCATACTTTTAGGCACCATTGATGTTCTTCAAAATTAATGTGAAGAAAGTCCGGAATTTATGAAATGTTAAACATGGGAGAAGGGGTAAACGTTATTATTTTCAATTTCAAAAAAATAAATAATAAATAAATAAATTAAATGCTCGTCAACTACAACTTGGCATTTTTATAAAAAATATTGTACATTTAATTAACAGAACAATGATCAGAGATTGAATGATTAAAACATCCAATCTTTAGTCACATCTAAGGCCTTCAACCCAAAGGGTCGATGTGGTTAACACACACAACCCCATAATATTACCTACACAAACACGTTGTAAATGTATGTAGATAAAAATATATTTTATTCTAACTAAAAAAAAAAAGTAATTTGAAAAAAAAAAAAATAAAGAAAATTAACACAATTATTACACGATGAGCTCAACAAAAGTGTTAATGGGGTAGGAGAAAAGAAAAATAGAAACCAAATGTCTTTTATCTTAAATTAAACAAAAAAAGCAAATGATGATGGGGGAAAAAAGAAAACAGACCAACAACTAATCCCAAATGAATATAATTTAGATTAACACTTTTTGAAGATAGAAAAGTGATGTGATGTGTTTGTTTGTTTTTTAGTTAAACACCAGTTTTTTCAGAGCAAAGATAATTTGACATTAAATTAATTTCGAGAATAAAAGAAAAAAACATTGCCGTGTGTATTCTAACAAATTTTTTCGTTAACTAGCCAGCCAGCCAGCCGATACGACCAGACCAATGAATAGTCGCTTTCAATCGTCGTTTGGCATCGTCGACTGTTGGCCGTTGCCATTGTCAACGCTGTTGTTATAGTGAGTAAATAAATTGGTTTGTAAGTTTGTAACTATTGTTAGCTGCAGTGGTGTCGGAGATGTTAACATTGGCTAGAAGTTTTTTTTTCTTCGACACTAAGAAAAATGTTGAAACCCTGTTGAATAGGTTAAGAAAACGAATGGAAGTTTTTAAGAAAATATTGTAGATTTCTATAAAGGGAACCTCTGTACATCGTTTTATATCTTTACAAGATGGACATAATTTTTATCTCTAGAAGACACGTATGAGGTCTGTAAAAAATACTGAAAATTTTTGCAAGACTTTCTTTTACCTGTTACAATAAAACTATTTTAAAAGTGTCAGTCGGTTTTGCCGACATACGTATATCCTCAGTCAGTGTCCGAATATTTAAATATATTTTGACTTCTGTTATAATTATTCAAATGAATGGCACTCTGTGGAGTAAGTTCCGAAGAATGGACCAATATTGTCCATTTTGTAGGGACCTAAATATATATGATATAAATATTGAGACGTGCCAGGTTTGGACTATATCGAACTGCTTCCTTCACTTCATATGAGATATGTTGTAATTTTTAGAAAGATATAGTCGACGAAAGTATTCCACTTTCATACTTCATCCAATACCGATACAAATTATGGTATGTGCAAAATTACAAGAAAATCGAACAATTACATCCAATTTTATTCGAAATCATAAATTCCGTATTCATTTCAGGTTTCTGGCTAAGAGAAATATATAGTTGTAAAGAATCGCTGACTTGTTTTGCAATTTATGACACATAAAAGAAATGAAAATTGTGACTCTTTGGGGGTGAGGTACCAGAAGGGATTCGCAGACATCTTTCATCTTCACAACAGATCTTGTGTTACCAAAAATATTTGGATATGTGAAATTTGTTGGATGCTTCAGCGTTTTGTTTTTCAAAATCTTGAACCCTATGTGGGCGAAGTACCAGAAGGAATGGTCCGATCTCTACCATTTTTATAACAGGTTCTTGTGTTGATGGAAATATTGAGATGTGCCAAGTCTGAATGGAATCGGATGTTAATTTCGCGTTTTATGAGCTTCATGGATATTCCAAATGTTGACCCTTTGTGGGGGAGGAACAAGAAGGAGATGAGCGATATATCAGTTCTTCGCAGCAGATTTTGTTTTAGTAGAAATAATGTGATGTGTGAAATATGAAGAGAACCGGATGCTTATTTCGGATTTTATAATCATTTTGGTTATTTAAAACTTTGACCCTTTGTGGGGGAGGTATCAGAAGGAATGGTCGGAGTTCTACCATCTTTATAACAGATCTTATGTTGATGGAAATATTGAGATGTACCAAGTCTAAATGGAATCGGATGTTAATTTCGCGTTTCTTTGTGGGGGGATACAAGGAGTGGACCGACATATCCCATCTTCATACCAGAACTTGGGCTAATAAAAATATTGGGATGTGTGAAATTTGAAGACAATCGGACTCTTACATCATATTTTATAAGAGTTATAATTATTCAAAATTTTGAGCCTTTGTGGGGGCTATACTTGATGGAGTGGACAGATATTGTTCATTTTCGTACCCGATTTAGCACTGAAACAAATATGAGGAATTGCAAAGTTGAAGCAAAATCGGATTACCCTTTTTCTTTCTGTGCAAAAAAAATATTTTTTGAAAATTTCGACCTTTTGTGGGGGAGATACCAGAAAGAGTGGACCGATATATTACATCTTAACACCAGATCTTAGGTTTATAAAAATATTGGGATGTGTGAAATTTGAAGACGATCGGACTCTTACATCATATTTTATAAGAGTTATAATTATTCAAAATTTTGACTCATTGTGGGGGATGTACTTGATGGAGTGGACCGGTATTATCCATTTTTGCACCTGACCTAGAACTGATGCAAATATTAGGATTTACAAAGTTGGACCAAAATATGATTATTTCTTCCCTGTGC